TAGCAATTTCAGAATAGTGAGCACCTTTAATAAGTAAGCAGTTTGGGGCTATGCCAGTGTAGCCTCCTGAATTCATGGAGAGGAACAAGTGTTCAAGCAGAACAATCTCTAATACAACCATTTGTATCTTCTATGTTTTGACAAATAGCAATTATGTGAATCCAGCCAACTGTGCTACCTGAGAAATTCTTTGAGCTAAAAACATACAGTGACTTAGAGTAATAACAACTCCACACAGCCACAAAAGCCTGCTTTGCTGGTGTTTTATGATATACACGTTGCATAAGCCATTGTGAGATCTTATAACTCAACATTCTCCTCCACCATGTCTTTGGTGGAAGGAAGAGTGATTTAGAAAAAAAAAATCTACCATGTGATGATATAAAGGAGAAGAAAATCTGTTATTTAAAATCAATAGAAAATCTAAAGTCTGAACACTGGTTCATCAGTCTTGAACTAAAATGACCATGTAATAATCCTGCAGTGTTTAGAGGTCATAGTGAGGCTCTGACCAAGGGCTCATGGTTTTCATGTTTGCATTCTGTTGAGGATATTTTATCCTATTCTTTGAGGATAAGAGTGATAAATGCAGTACTACTGCTTTTTATTTATATTATACTTGTCATTCAAAGCAGTCTGAAGACTTTCAAAGAGTAGATATACTTTTACACTAAATATCATAAATACTTTTGAAACAAGGCAGCTTATTAATTAAACAAGTAACTCACTTGCATACTAATGTACAATGCATGTGTTTCTTTTTAAACATGGTTCAGATGAAAGACAAAAACTCTTACAAACTTAGGACCATTTATATTATTCAACCAAGTACTGTGCTTTCTGAGCTATAAATTCTCATCATAAAATATCAACTTTTCTAGTATCTACCCCAAACACACCAGTTGATAAGATTACTTACCTGTGACATGCCATTCCACTCTACCCCTTGAGAGTACAAAGACATAGGTTAAGCAAAGAGAATATGGGAAAGAAGGAGGAATCCAGACCAACAAAAATAGTGGCATTTTTTTAAAATTTAAATTCAATTAGCCAACATATAGTACATCATTAGTTTTTGATGTGATGTTCAATGATTCATTAGTTGCGTATAACACCTGGTGCTCATCATATCACGTGCCCTCCTTAATGCCCATCACCCAGTTACCCCATCCCCCCATGCACCTCCCTTTCCGCAACCCTCAGTTTGTTTCCCAGAGTCAAGAGTCTCTCATGGTTTTTCTCCCTCTCTGATTTCTTCTCCTTCAGTTTTCCCTCCCTTCCCCTATGATCCTCTGTATTATTCCTTATATTCCACATATGAGTGAAACCATATGATAATTGTCTTTCTCTGATTGACTTATTTCACTTAACATAATCCCTTCCAGTTCCATCCATGTCAATGTAAATGGTGGGTATTCATCCTTTCTGATGGCTGCGTAATATTCCATTGTATATATGAACCACATCTTTTTTATCCATTCATCTATTGAAGGGCATCTCAGCTCCTTCCACAGTTTGGCTATTGTGGACATTGCTGCTATAAACATTGGGGTGCATGTGCCCCTTCTTTTCACTACGTCTGTATCTCTGGGGTAAGTACCCAGCAGTGCAATTGCTGGGTCGTAAGGCAGCTCTATTTTTAACGTCTTTTGGAACCTCCATACTGTTTTCCAGAGTGGCTGCACCAGCTTGCATTCAATAGTGGCATCTTTTTGACATCACAGAGAGTCAACAAGGGACAAAGCTTGAATTTCATAGAAATTCTACTTCATTTTCAATCAAATTGCAAGTAAAAAATGCCAAATTATTCGCCTGTTTTTCGACCCAACCAGACTTCACTTTCTATAGGCTGACTCCTTGTTTTTATTTACAATCAAAAAGCAAAGTATGTTATGCCCATTATGAACTACTAACTTGGTAGTGTTTCTGAAAAAATAAGACTATGGCTTACTATAGCAGATTCTTACTATGGCTGATACAGCTGGTGTTATTTTATATATTCCTGTAAAAACACTGCTTTCAGCTATACTGGCTTATTGCCAGTGGAAATTGGTGAGTCAAAACAGAGACTCCTCCCAGAGCAGGCATGTGACCCAACATGCAATGTAGGAGCCCAGGAGTCTCCTGAACTCAATCAATCACAGGGTCACTGCCCAGTGCTGACTCAATGATGCACAACCGTGGGACATAGAGGAACCAGGTGACAAGTCTCCCCTGGTATTGTCACTAGTCCCTTATGTTGTGGCACTGGAAACTATGTTTAGGGAGTTCTTGTTTGGTTTCATCAGCCCTCAGGAAAGATATAATGAATGAAATAATGGAGTAAACCATATCTATTTAAGGAGATTAGGCTTATTTACCTTGATAAGAGGACTTTTAAAATATTCCATCTAAAAAAGTCAAACTCAGGGAAACAGAGAATAGAGTGGTGGTTACCAGGGATTGGGGGTGGGGGAAATGGGAAGTACATTGGTCAAAGAGTAAACATTTACAGTTACAAGATTAACAAGTTTGGGGAGCTAATGTACAGGATTGTGACTATAGCTAATACTACTGTATCATATACTTGAATGTTACCAAAAGAATGAATCTTAAACATTCCCACCACAAAAAAAAAAATGGTAATTATGTGACAGGATGGAGGTGGTAGCTAATGTTATAGTGGTACTCATCTTTCAAAATATAAATGTATCAAATCACCCTGTCGTATACCTTAAAATTACACCATGTTATGTGTCCGTTATATATCTCTGTCACTATCTCTATCTATCTATCTATCTATCTATCTATCTATCTATCTATCTATCTATCTATCTATATTTCAGACACCACCCCATACCTCTGACTCTGCAGTTGGGGCCCAGGAATCTATCTTTATGACATTTCCAGAGTAGTTACTCACCAGGTTTAAAAATCAAGGGCTTAGATTTTCAAATGCACTCCCAAATCCTACTCATATTTTTAGGTTTAAATCTATTTCTTTCTCCTTTCTCAGGTCTTTATATTCACAGAATGAGTGTTGAATAATTTCTTGCATTGCTTACTAGAAGTTTGTTTCATTTGACAACTGAAGACACAAACTCAGAGATGTTAAGTACTTGGTTCAAGGTTACACAGTACACTAATGGAATGGAATTAGAAAGCTGTCTGTTGTAGCCTCCATGGTTAGTTGACTATTCCTTTTCCCTTCTTTTCCTCAGCTTTATATCCAAGTATAAGAAAAATGGAGGCACCTAGGGACTCCCTTGAAAAATCAGACATAAATCAGGGTAAATGTAGATATTAATCCCTAAGCAACACTTTCTCTCAGAGAGAAACCTACAGAATAAAAAAGACTTATGACACATATCAACTAAAGACAGTGTGTGGACCTTGGGTCCCAACTTGAACAAAATGTAAATTTGTTTTTAAATTATGGGACATCAGGAAAATAAGAACACCACCTGAATATTCAATTACATTAAGGAATTGTGTTTAAATATTAGAAGGCTGACAATTTCATTATGGCTCTATTTTTCAAAGTCCTTGCATTTTAGAAATACTTATTGTAATATTTATGAATGCAACAATCTCTGGGAAGCTTCAAATCCAGTGGTGGGGTAAGGGGCAGGAGTAGCTGTGATGAGACAGATTTGAAATAAGATTGACCATGAGTTGATAATGATTGAATCCAAGTGATGACGCACAGGACTTTTTATGCTATTCTTTCTACCTATTCACATGTATGTTTAAATTTCTCACTATAAATTTTTTTTTTAAGAATCCATTTCTCTCAAGGGCTGGCTTACAATTTTGTGGGTTATTTGACTTACCTATATAATAATAGGCTTATTAGTGAGGTCCACAACTTGATAGAATATCAATGGCTTTATGCCTTCAACAGCCTTCCACCATGGCTGTAGGAGATAAATGCCAACCATTAAAGCAGAAACTATGGTTCTCTAGGAACAGCAATCTCTTTCCAAGTAGCTACATATTTCTATAACCTGTTGCACTGTGAGAGACCTAAAACTGCAACAGGTAAACTATTAAAATAATAAAAACAGTTTAATAAATAATAGTAATTGTGAAAGCAATCACACTGATCGTAAGAGTTTTCATAACTCAGTATGCTTGGGAAATTGCTGTTAACTGTGCAAAGTAGAAGGAGGACACACCCAGATCTGGCTAGGGGGTATCCTAGTTAAGGTGTTAGGTTTAGCGCCAATTTCCAATATGCCCAGGAAGCTGCAGCACCCAGACTTTGAGGCTGAACACTCTGCCTTTCTCCTTTGTCCCAGCCCACCACCTCCATTCAGAATCTACAGAGCTGTGAATCTTAAAGGGCAGGATCTACTAGCATTCATTACAACTTCAGAGGTAGCAGGGTTCCCAGTTAAATGAAAGGTGTTCAGGGTTTGTTTTTTAAACAATAATTAACTATTCTATTATTTCAATGAATATTTCAATGAAATATACTATTTCAGCACAGGAAAACCCTGGGAAAAGCTTTGTTTTATGACCTAGAAGTGGAAATAGAGAGTCTAAGGGGAAACAGAGGTAGATTTCTGGAAAGATAATGTTTTATGTGTTTATTTGTCTTCCAGAACTCCAAATAGTTGCCTTGGCAGGCAGGCTGCTCTATAACTGCCCCCTTCTGAAGACTCAGAGGTGTTTACAGAAACTGAAAGTTCCAGCAGTATATTTCCATGAGCTCATTACCCGGTCCGATGATATCCTTTAGATGTTGCATGTGCAAATGAATATCCATGCAGTATAAACCCCTGCTCTGAGCTTTTGTTTTAATTACAAAGTAGCAGAAGTCAGATATGTGATTACTGTAACATCAGGGCATCTTTTTAGAATCCCTGCTTTGGTCACTATTATTCAAAGCAACTCCAATGCCATTTCTTGCCTGCCTCTTTATGCTAATCAGCCTAGCTCACTCGGCTCCTCCTCCTTCAGCTTCCCTTAAGAACTGTTCACTTTCAGCTGTCACGGACGGTAACTCAGACCAGGCTTAGAAATCACTTGATTTAACTCAGCAGCACTTTTTAAATTTTATGTCTATTACTCTAGCAGTCCTCTCTAAATACCAGAGGCATTAGATTTCATGTCAGCAGATGAGTCAAAAATTGCCAAAACGGTAATTGGTTAGAAATAGTTATTTTGTAGCATTTTACACTTATCGAGGGTGGGGGGGGGAACCTTCAAAAGTGCTTTGAAATGAAAGAAGAATTAAGTTGTGTTTTTACCCAAGCGAATTGGCATCTTTATTTGTAGGGGAAGTTATACTGGTAAATATTTATTTCAAGAATCATGACTTGGAAGCGCTTGGAAGTTTATTAGAGAGGTAAATGTTTTACACTCACGGACAGGATCTGCATGTACCTCTGTGGCTCTGGGTGTCTGGTGAAGACCATTTTAGGTGACTGACCAAGGGAAGGAAATGCCTTAGTGAGACTGGAATCACAGCCATATTGCCACCACCATGTCTACCATACAAAGAAAAGGCAGAAGCCACCTGTTTAACAGTTTGTACTCCAGTAAACTGAAGCTTCCGGAAGACCAGCGACAGCAAGGTGAGTCAGCCAGGCTAATGGGCTGTGTGTTCGGTGATCTCCCAGTCATTCGCATTCCAGGAAGAATGGTAACCTGGGGAAGTACCTGGGGAATCTCTGGTTGTGAAATGCTTTACGATCTTTGATTTTTTAACTCTGAGAATAAACATACTAGTGATGCATAAGGGTGAGTTAGCTTGGATTCACTACTGGTTTTTAAAGGGCTATGGGAGACTATCAAGAATGTATATTCCTTGGATTTGTCATTCTGCAGCTTATGTGCTTAAACTTCAGGCCACTGTCATTTTTCTAGAGTATGCTAGACTTGTGTAATTCAAAACGTCCATCCAGGCAAGGCGGAATCAGCTACAAGGGGAATCTGCTGAGAGTAGCTTTAAGTTAGCCTGGAACTATCTTCCCTGTCCTGCCACTAATGGCACACTTTTGGATTTAAAGTTTAAACCTAATTTTTGCCCACGTCTCTGACTCACTCATTTGTGGGAAAAATAAATATATTTTTTACTCTTTTCCTGTTAGGATGTAGGAACAGCTGGAGACAGACAGGGAAAAGTGTCACATTTCACATGCTGGGTCCTCATTCAGACTCAACTGTCTACCTGGCAGCCCCATTTTCACCATCAGTCTTTTTAAAATTTCAAATCCACTACCCAGCTGCATCAAGTAGTGGCGGATGGTGGACATGAATAGACAAGATGATTCCTCCAATCCATTCTGTCATGGACAGCAAAGGACACTTGAGAAAAAGGCAGGGTTCTGTCATAGATGACATCATCACTCCCCAGAGGCTAAGGATTGGTCCCAGACATTTCTAACTTGCCCTCAATAACCACTGATGGATCTGTCTGTGTATGGATCTAGGCTACCAGCTCTTTATTTACTTTTCCATAGACACAGTTTTAGATTTTAGTGGCCTGGGAAGTGTTGGCTCATGGGCTGAAACCTCCCATTTCCAAGGTGGATCTGTGTGCTGACATTTGCAAGACAGTGTCAGGCCACCTCCCTGCATTATCGCTGGACTTCATGCTGTACAAGGCTTGGCATAGTGTGGGTAGAAAATACTTTATAAGAAATGGAAAGAGCAAAAACTTGTAAGACCATTCTGTATCATCAGGGCTTCTCTAAATTATTTTAAACTAACTGCCTTAGCATGTCAAGTCCCAGAATGTGCCAGGGTTCAATCATAGCACTGTAAAATTTTTACCCTTCTGTTAGTAAACTCTAATTCATCATAGGTTTTGGTTGGCTTTTCATTTTGTTTTAAATGCTTAAAGTGACCTCTCCCCTCCGTTGCTAGTATAATATTTATTATATAAAATTTGCCAGGGGGAGAGTTAAGGAGATGGTAAAAATCATCAGCCAAAGATAGTTGCTATTGACATTTTAATGTATATTCATATACATTACAAATAAATATATATACAAATAGACTTATTTTATATATAGTTGTTTTGTAAACTGCTTTTTAATTTAATAATTGATTATGAACAGATTTCCATGTCATAAATTCTTCTACAACCTTATTTTTAACAGTTGTATACTATTCCTTTAAATGTAGGTAGTAAAATTCCTTAGGCAGTTCTCTATGATGAGACATTTTATTTCTGTTTTTTCACCCATACAAACAACACTGTGTTTCACATAAATTATTGCAGAGAAAAGATTATTTTCTTGAGATACATTCTTAGTGGTAGAACTGTGAAGTCAAAGGACATATATGTTTTTAAGATTTTGTGGGGTTTTTTTTTTGGTTTTTTTTTTTTTTTGCCAATTGGTCCTCCAATCAGAAGTTTAGGGGTCTATTCTCAGTAATACTGGGTAATATTTTTAAAAGCTTTTCCCAATTTTATAAGTGGAAATACTATCTCGCTGTTGTTTTCACTGAAGGCAGGCTGTCTTAATATTCTCTCCTCTTATTGGCCATATCCAGAGGACACTGGAAAAATCATTATGATGACATACTTCCCAAAATACCAACAAGACAAGAAGTCTGGTCTCTTTTCTCAGACTGAAGCTTTTGCCTAGAATGTTTTGAAAGCAACCATATTTTTCCACAGCCGAGTCTCAAAATATCAGCCCGCATAAACCACAATCCATAAAGTTGAAAAGCATGCTAATGCAATCCAGACTGGCCACTGACTGCCACAAGAACTGTCATCTAGAGATCTGAATTGACAAGTGACACTGGGCAGTGTTTGCTATGCTGCTAAATAGCATTCTACTTACTGTTTGGGAGTTGAAAAATACTCATTGAGTGTAGTATCCTCCAAGCTATATTTGCACCTTGCTATTATACAAACTTCAGCAAAGGTCCAAGAAAGCAAAGCCATTAGTTTCAGAGAGTGAGGTCCGCCTGTGGATTTATTCACCAAGGCATTCTGAGTTTGTGGCTTTGGCCGACCCCCAGCCACACCAAGGTTCCAGCTTTTTAATGTAACATACGGACGTGATTAATTGGCATTTAACTCTTCCAAGGGCACAACCAGATTCAACACATACATACTTTCTAGCCCTCCACACTATATGTTGAAGCGCTTGTTGTTATAAAGCTGTACTTTCTGGGTGATCATGTAGATAAAAGTCACTTGTTCTTTAGTAACTATCTGAACGATGACTATGCAAAGCACTGTGCCAGTCACTGGGTACATGAGTTGAATCAAACCAACTAAGCCATGGTTTCCAGTCCACACAGTGTTTACCTGCTACAGCAACAGATGCTCTAGAGTCCAGAACAGTAGTCCAGGAGGCTCCTCTCTCTACTTGTTGCTGTCTGATAACTTCTTCTGTGAGAGTTCAAATCCATTGATCTATAACTCTGATCTGAGACCACATTTGTCAACATTAACATATGTCTGCAAAAACTTCAACAACGTTCAGTACACATTACATGTAGGTACTAGGCAAACTTTACCATATTTATGTTTTATAATGCTGTATACTTTAAAATTTATAAAGTAAATTTCTAAAATGCTTTAAAAATTACAAAATTTTCAATACGTTACCTCATTTAATTCTTACAATAGTGAGATGAGGTAGTATATTAGTCAAGATTCTCCAAAGAAACAGAATCTACAGGGTGTGTTTGTGTGTGTGTGTGTGTGTGTGTGTGTGTGTGTGTGTGTGTGTAGATAGAGATAGAGACAGAGATAGAGATAAAGATAGAAATTGATTTTAAATAAATAAAACCTGAGTCGCTCAGTTGGTTGAGCATCTGACTCTTGATTTCAGCTCAGGTCATGATCTCAGGGTCCGGGATCAAGTCCCGTGTGGGGCTCCATGCTTGGTGTGGCGATTCTCTCCCTCTCCCCTGTCCCTGCCCCCACTTGCATGCTTGATTTCTCTCTCTCTCTCAAATAAATAAATAAGTAGTCTTTAAAAATTAAAAAAAAAAGAAACTTATTTTAAGATATTGCCTCACACAATAGGGGAAACTGACAAATCCAAAATCCTCTGTGTGGGCCATCAGCCTGGAGTCCCAGGCAAAGAGTGGACCAACATTGCGGTTAAATTTTGAAAGCAGTCTGTTGGCAGAATTCCCTCTTGCTCAGGGTAGGTCAGTCTTTTATGATATCCAGACCTTCAGCTGATTGGATGAGGCCCACCAACATTCTAGAGGGCAATCTGCTTTACTCACAGTCCACCAGTTTGAATGTAAATCTTATCCAAAAGCACCCTCACGAAAACATCCAGAATAATGTTTAACCAAATATCCAGCACTGTGGTGCAGCCAAGTTGACACATAAAATTAACCATTATAGGTAGGCATCATTATCCTCAATTTCAAAGATGTGGAAACTGGGAATCCTCAAAGTCAAGTGCTTTTTCCAAGGCTATGTAGTTATTAAGGCCTACTTTCAATGCACTTTCTGTTATATATGGCTGTCTCATAAAATCCATGTTTCGTAGTGTTATCATGTTTAATTTTTTCCATTGATCCATATCAAAGTAACTTCTCTGCAAACAGTCAAGCTGCATTAGGATTCCTTCTGATTTTGTTTGTTCTGATACCAACTAGGTGTGCTACAATTTAATTCAATTCTGACATTTTCCAGAGTTAGTGAAGATTGCAAAACTTAAGGGCTCAGTCTCATGAGACTGACCATTTCAAATGCCAGCTACAAAATTTCAGGTGTCTCCAAGCCATCTGCATTTGTGCCTGGATGATTACAAATGCAAGGCTTCCCACGACACTCCCAGGTTTGAAAATTTGCTAGAATGACTTGTAGAATCCAAGAAAAACCTATACCATTTTATTATAAAGGATACAAATGAACAGCCAACTGAAGAGATACATGAGGCAAGGTGTGTGTGTGTGGGGGGGTTCTGAGCACAGGAGTTCTGTCCCCATGGAGTCTGGGTCTACCACTGTCCGAGGACATCAGTAAGATCACCAACTAGGAAGTTCCAGTAAGCATGGGTGTCCAGAGTTTTCATATGTGATTTCATTACATAGATGTAATTGATTAAATCATTAACTATGATAGAACTCAATTTCCAGTCTCTCTCTCCTCTCTGCCCCAGGTTGGGGGTAGAAAGTAGGGCTAGAAGTTCCAACTCTATACTTGCTTGGTCTTTTTAGTGTGGCCAGCCCCTCCCCGGATTTACCTCATTAGCAAAACAGACACCTGACTCTCAGTCAGGAAATTCAAATGGTTTTGAAGCTCTGTGCAAGGAATAGAGAACAAAAACCAGATCTATTCTTTATTACATCACACTTTGGCCATGATTTTCTGGATGAATTCTGTCCTTAATGTCAGGACAAGTTCCTGAAAGTCAAGAAACATAGATAATGCCTTCAACCATTTACTTATTCAATGCAGTTTTTACCAAGTGCTGGATGCTATATTGAACACCGGAAATGCAAAGATGTTTTTCTCCCAGGCTTGTTTTCTATCATGTGTTTTTTAAGAGGAATTCTGTAATAAAAACTCAGCTAATGATACTTTTTCAACATTTTGGGTGAGAGAAAAAGTGATTTGATTCTATATTGTTCAGACTTTGCT